TATTTTTCCATACCTCCAAAGTTCAGTCTTAGAAGTTGGTTTAGCATTTTCTGCTTCTCTCAATTCAAGTAACCCCAAAAACATGAGGTCCTGAATATGAGTGATTCGTTTATTATATTTTCATTTATTAAATTTATAGTCTGTACTGAATAAAAACAACACCTAACATTACAAGCAATTCCAAACTTTTGATCTCCACCCGCTTAGTTCGCTACTCGCTGCCTGGTGAAGGGAGAAGGGGGACCACACTATGCCCACTGACGCAGACCAGGCCGCTCTGGCCTCAGCCAGATCACTCCTGAGGTTTCAGGATGGAGGGAGGGGGCGAAAGAGGGGCAGGAAAAACAATCTTGCCCCACAGCATTAGACGCAGCAGCTGCCTCCACATCCATCGCTCATGGCCATCGCTCAACAATGATTTCCCCCCATACTGCCTGTTCTGACTGCTCCCTATTGCCTTATGTTCTTCTGCACAACAGGCCGCTTTCACACAGCGCTTGGCCGCAGGCCTGCTGTGGCTCCAGAGGTTTTCTTAATGTTTTCTGAGGCCAAACACGAACAATGACAACAGCTTAGTCCTGCCCACTGCAGCTGCATTTACTTAGAGAAGTTCTGCAAGATCTCTTTGTTTGTAGCGTCAGCGTTCCGAGGGGACTGAAAGTCGGCAAGAACTACAAACACCATCCATTACAACATGCCCAGCATGCTATTGTGCCATGAATAAGAAGATGTTATGGGCTCTTGCAGAAGTTACGACTCGAGCACATTGATCAGAGATATAGTTCATGCCCCAAAATAACCGTGCACTGTTTTTAAAGCACGTCTGGCAGCGAGCGCTCTCTCTCTTCTTCTTCTCAGCCTGATCCACATGTAGCGACGAGTGGGACGTGAGGAAACTGTACACGCAAAAAAGGGCCTCTCGCGGTCTATTCTAAGGGCCGATACAGCGAATGGAATGCGCGGCTCTACCAACAACCTCCTTATATGAACGCTACAGTTACAGAGTGTGGATTCTTCCATACGAACCGACTAGCCATTGTATATATCGTATCATAGGAGTATCTTATGTTGCTCCATATAGCATTTGAGCATGATTGCTGAGGTTGAGCTGGCAGTACTGACTATCAGTGTTGGTCAACCAGAACTTTCAGGCTTCTTTTGACCATTTAAGTAAATTGTAGAAAGCTGCAAAATTTAAAGTATGATCTTTTCAGCTAGAACCTCAATGAAGAAACATGAAGCATTAGTTCCACCATATAGTTCTTTAAATTCTGATCAAAATATGATCCCTGTATAAGCATCGAAATACACGGATGTAAAGTCAGAATACATCAGAAGTTCTGGCATACAGACCCTACAGGTTTCTGACACTTAAATGGACATCCCAGCCTAAAGCTGATATGTTATCTGTCATGTTATGTAATGTTATGGAGAACAGCATCGTACCCCTCAGCCTCACTGGTTTGACAGAATTCACAAATTTGGGTCCATTTTGCAATCCAGTATGCATTATTTGAAGGTCACTGGAAATCCTCCTCACATTGATAAAGAAATTCACTGATGCAGAGGCTAATAAATACAGGAAAAATGGAAAAAATGGAAAATTTGCCTCTTGAATCCACTCCAAAGTACTAGTTTTTCAAAATTTCCTCCCACCTTCAAGATACATCATCAGACGCGGGTTTTCCTAGTCTTTAAACCAGAAATTCATACTCTTGAGGCTATCAGCTGCCACTGTATGAGGCGATTAGTCATGTTTACAGCAGGTAAAGCCCCTTTAATCTCTTTTCTTCTGTTTACTGTAAAACAGTGAGGAACCCTTGGAGCCTCCTCGGCCTTCAGAGAAGGCCTAATGAAATGAGCCCTCTCATTACTTAGGCCATGAGGAACTAAATTTTTAAGGAACCAGAAGTGTTAGAGTTCTTATATTCATTTAACCAGTTAAATGGCCAGGGCACACCGGTGAGCCCAAAGTTTTATTACATGCTCCTATAACCTAAGAATAGCTCAACCAGTTTGCACTGAAGTCCAAGTAGTTACTGAATAATAAGCCTTATTATGTAACAAGCCTGAGATTTTAAAGGGTTATGTAATTTGTAGAATGCTGCAAAGCAGGAGTTCCACCATATGGTTCTCTAAATTCCTAAAACATGATCCCTACATCAGAGCAAAAAGACATGGAAGTAAAGTCAGAATACACTGGAAGGTCTGGCATATATACCTTACCGATCTCTGACACTTAAATGGACATTCTGGCCTAAAACTAGTATTTAAGTGTTATTTGTCATGTTATGTAATATTATGCAGCACAGCATCATATTCATCAACCTCAATGGTTTAACTGAATTCACAATTTTGTATCCTTTTGGCAACCCAGTATGCATAACACAAATATATCATACCACCATTGGGAATCCCAAATGTTTTTTCAAAATTTCCTCCCATCTTCAAGATACATCATTAGAAGGTAGCAGGTTGGGCTTTAAACCGGAAATTCTCACTCATGAGGCTATTGCAGCACCACTGTAGGAGGGAAGTAGGCATGCTTGCAACAGATAAAACTCATTTAAACTCTTTTCTTTGGTTTACTATAAAGCAGTAAGGAACTCTCAGGGCCTTCTAGAGAAGAGCCCTCTCATTGATCAGGCCTTTAGGAGCTGAACCGAAGGCCTAATATGTCAGATTAACCACTAACATAAGTTGGAAGTAACATAGGAATCAACTAATCACATTTTGATTTACAATGGCTGGACCAATTTTGTTAGAACAACACCACTCTAGGCCTTCTTGAAGTCCTAGATACGCCATTGATTGTGACTATGAGCAACTGATTGTAAATATGAGCAATCAGATGTTAGATATGTTCATATGAATTGCTGTTAGCAAAGTACTAACGTTACTAGAAAGTCACATAGGCGCTAGGTGGAATTTGCATTATCTTAGAGATGTTTTTTAATCCTTTTTGACTGAGTTCAGTCTTTTATAATCCGAACTGAAGGTCTATCTAATAGTCATGGATCACCACTACTGTAAAGGGACATTCATGACTTGGTGGTCATGAACTTGAAGCAACCTATTGTAATGCTATACACCACATCTTCCTCAAATCTTTTAAAACAACCTTCATTGCTGTGGCCTCCAGACTGCCAAGAACTGAACGGAACCCAAGGTGTGAAACATGGGGGTCATGAGGGGTCCAGGACTCTCTAATGAACCTTTTGGATCTCCTGAATGTCTCAAATTCAAAATTCTAAAGATTCAGGGAAAGGACATTCTTTAACTGCTTCTCTTGCCAATTGGCCAACTTCTGTCTCTGGTACTCTTAACTGACTAGAGATGCAGCACTAGTCTGCCTCAGTGTAGAAATGTACCAAACTGGTTCACCAAGATGGTCCTTCATATCTTAGAAAGACTTCAAAGTATGCTGAAACATATTTGTAGATCTGAAAACTGGTGGAAAGGGTGAACTGTTACTCATTTCTCAAACCGAAGACAAAAGAGACGTCTAAGATCTTAATGAATGTGTGGAAGAGCGCAAACTAGAAAAGAGCATTTCTAAAAGGAGATTTGTTAAACCAAATATTTGCTGCCATTGAAGCTATGATCAGTGTCACTATGGCGAGTGAGTTAGCAGCTAGTCAACATGGGACGCCCTTAATACCAGGGGGTGTTTCGTACACTGACGGAACCATTCAGGGGACAAAAGCTTTATGTTTCATAGCTGCATCCAGAACGCAGAAGGCCTTCAAGCACATTTTATAAAGGCAAAGACCTGCTGACAATTTGACAGTTTATCAGGGAGCAATATCAGGGTGAACTTGTGAGAAATGATCCAGATGCGTCAGCGAGCCAACACCTGCTTGATCTTTTTGGGAAGGGAGGGGCAGAACCCTGTCCCAGACCAGAGCTGACAGGCTCCCGCCACTGTTCTGAGGGAGGTGGATTAGGCTGCCTTGATCCAGTCATCATTTTCATAAGCGGCTTGTGACACCTCCAGCAAGCGAAACTGTCCCTCCTGACTAATCATCTCTTGACTGACTTCTCCTGAGCTCATGTTCTCATATCATACTTCTCACCAACTGGTAATTGAGAGCGCTGGACTGGCATTAAGAGTTAGATGGCAGTGGCTGTGCTTACGGAGAAGTGTAGAATTAATGGAACAGATGCAGTTGGCCAGTGTTGCTTCTATGTAGTAAATAACAGCATTGCAAAAATGCATCTGAAGGTGGCGTTATGGAGTTTGGACTGTTAGAATCAATCAAAATTGATATTTTATATGTTATATTCAACAATGTGTGTTGATTTTTCACGCAAAAAAACTCTTTGGCTATCTTAAACATAAAAAGTGGCCAAATTCCATTTTAATTTTCACAGTTTTATTGAAAATGTGTATCTACTGTGTAGATACAATATAGATCTAATGTATAGACACAGACACATTAATGTATTTTGTGTGTTTTTATATATATTTCCAGTTGATCAGAATTATTTATGCAAAAAATTCCTAAAAATCACAACAAAACAATCAAAAAAGTGACATTTAAAGCCCTGGTAAGTGACAATACGATCACGCCCCCCACAATGCCCGATACACCACTGGACATGAAGAGTCCAGGGCAATAGGTGAGTGACTGTGACCAATCTGATCTGTGCTGAAGTGCAAAAGGAGTAAGTGTATACTGTCCAGATATCTCTCACTGAGTCGTGCAGAGGTCACTACGGCTGTGCAAATGTGATCTGCAGATGAACTGTTACATCAATCTGTCATTGCTTATGTGCAATGACTGAAAATGCAGTTAATCATCTCTGGAATCAGGATCAGTTTTGATTACAATCAGCTGTATAACTAGTGAATATAGCCAGACTGACAGTGCTGGATCTTCCAACACTAATCAAGTGCTGTCTGTTTGCGCAATACTGCATTACAAAGCAACTTCAGAACTGCTTAAACAGAAGTTGGAAAAGACCTTCAGTGTCCTCTGGGTAAAACAACTGCTTACCTTGAGGTGTGGAATAGACACCATCCCGTCCACAGTGGGCAGCAGGAGAGCCAGGGTCATCCACTGCAGCTCCGGTAGATAATGAGGCTCTACCGGAGGGCGGAGACGCTGGAAAGCCCGTAGACAGAGACATCAACCCGGGACACGCTGCATCGGAGGCTGCTAGAGGCTGAGTTCCTCTCATTACCCCCAGCTTCTGCTCAGCGCTGCTCTACAACTGCAGCAGCGTTCAACACACTGACGAGCAAGGCGGTTAAAACGGGATTAAATAAAAACAAAAACGTGGCAAATGCAGCACAATGACGGTGAGAGTCGCTGCTGTTGGGTGTCAAGTTAATCCAAACGCTCAGCGACTCCGGAACAAGCCGTTTCTGGCAGTGACAGTGAACCAAACGTGCGTCCTGTCAGGAGGAAATATGTCAATGAACGCTCGTGGGCGGGTGGGCGTGGCAACGGGAACTGTGGGCGGGGCATCGGTAGCGTGTGGTTTGGCACGCGTACAAATGTACCCTGCAAGCGAGGCAAACACACACCCCACGCACACACACACGTGTATGTATATATATATATATATATATATATATATATATATATATATATATAAATTGTTCATGTTATAAGCTCCACTGGCTCTAGGCAGGGATTCTCTGCACACTTTATTAGCCTCCTTTCATGCTATTCTTCCATGGTCAGGACCCCCACAGGACCACCACAGAGCACTGCAGTGACACTGACATGGTGGTGGTGTGTTAGTGTGTGTTAAGTGGATCAGACACAGCAGTGCTGCTGGAGTTTTTAAAAACCTCAGTGTCGCTGCTGGACTGAGAATCAAAAATATCCAGCCAACAGCGTCCTGTGGGCAGCGTCCTGTGACCACTGATGAAGGACTAGAGGATGACCAACACAAACTGTACAATGATATATGAGCCATTGTCTCTGGCTTTACATCTACAAGGTGGACTGACAAGGTAGAAGTGTCTAATAGAGTGGACAGTGAGTGGACACAGTGCTTAAAACCCCAGCAGCAATGCTGTGTCTGATCCACTCGCACCAGCGCAACACACACTAACACACCACCACATCAGTGCTGAGAATGATCCATCACCCAAATAATACCTGCTCTGTGGTGGTCCTGTGGGGGTCCTGACCACTAATAAACAAATTAACAAAGTGTGCAGAGAAACTGATGGACTACAGTCTGTGACTGTAGAACTACAAAGTGCACCTGTATGATAAGTGGAGCTGATAAAATGGACAATGAGTGCAAAATCAAGGAGGTGCTGGTTCTGATTGAGAAGGAACCTGATCTATTGTATGTGCAGGATCGCTTGGCATTTTAGCCTAAAACCTGAAACAAACTGTCTCTAAACATGTTAGAAATAAACTGCTGCAGTGCTGCATTTTGGGTGGCTGGAGACTTTATTTCCGCCGCTCCAAATGTATGAGAACCACTGCTATTTGTGCAATATTAACGTGCTGAGCCCCGTTAGCTCAGTAGCGGTTTTGTATGGAGGCCTGTTCGCTGTTGACGTGTTGTTTTTGCTTTTCCCGGCTCTGCTGACTGGCTCCAACTGGTCTTGCTCTGTCACGTGATCCAACAATGACGCAGTGAACGAAACGGACTGGCTTCGTGAGCATGCGCACTAAGGCCGTGCGGAATTTTCCACTGTGGAGCTCTTTTTATTCCCACCTGTTTTCCTGCATCGGGCGCTTGGATTGGATAGCAGTTCGTGTTTAAATGAAGCCGCGGGTAATAACTAATCATAGTCAGCCTGTTTTAAATTCATTTTGAACTAGTTCTAGTTTAATGCCATTTTCATAGTTCTACTGCATTTTCTGTTGTTGTTTCGGCACTTTGACTGCCTGATCTGTCTGTCCCGTCTTGTCCTAACATAGGAGGTGGAGTTAGCCGGAATACGGGTGGAGACAGACGTGTCTTGCTGGGGCGAAGACTCACAGCACTGAACTTCTGCTCCTGTAGTCTGAGGCTATAAATATGTCTGTTTATACCGGCCTTGGCTGGGTTGGTCCTGAGGCAGCCTGATTCACTGAGCATTTGGGTTCAGACAGCTTTAAAGCATTCGGGTTACATCATATATTATCTGGATGACCATTCGGTTTTTGGAAAGTTGTTTGTTGTGATAATATTTATAGATTTTAGTCTGATTCCGAGGTAATTTACAGGTTACAGAATCTTTCAGGCTATTTATAAATTTGCTGTCTGATATTTTTATTATTAATGATTGTAGTATTACATTATTAACTTTTGTAATTAAATTGTATTGATTTTGTAATTAAAGTGCAGTACACTCTTAAAAAAAGATGGTTCTTCAAGGGTTCTTTAGTAAAGGGAATGGTTCAGTTTAGACCCATGAATTCTATTTAGAACCATTTCATGCTTAAATGGTTCTTTGCATGGTCAAATGGTTCAAATCGATGGAGAATGTGGTTCTATATAGCACCAAAAAAGTGTTCTTCTCTGTTTTTACAAGCTAGACATCGTAACAATAACAGAACCTTTTTTGGTGCCAAACAGAACCATTTTCAAAAAGGTGTTACATAGACCTACATACAACACATTCTCCATCAATCCATTACTGCTGTCCAGTTCTGTATAGAATAGTTCTGTGGTAGTCCTGTGGGGGTCCTGTGGGGGTCCTGACCATTGAAGAACAGGGTAACAAAGTATGCAGAGAAACAGATGGACTACAGTCTGTAATTGTAGAACTACAAAGTGCTCCTATATGGTCAATGAAGCTGATAAAATGGACAATGAGTGTAGAAACAAGCAGGTGGTTTTAATATTATGGCTGATCAATGTACAATTGAATGTTAAAAATCAGTTATCACTTAGGATGAAAAGTTTAATATGAAAAAATAATATGACAAAAATCTTTTTGGTGATATGGTTTGATTTGATTTGAAAATGTTCTTCAGATTTGCATCAAGTGAGCTCAGAGAACATAAAGACAGTGCAAAATAAAGACACATTAATAGGTTAATATGTCAATAATAAGCATTAATACAAAGAATATGTCAGTTATTCTGTGTTGACACATTGAAAACACACCAAAATACAAACTACACTGAATTCATAAAAATCATGTTAGTTTCTGGTGGATTCTTGCTGGTGCTGGTTAGTTCACTGTCTTTGTCACATGGTGGCACTGCTGTCCACACTGCGAAAGTACAAATCTTTCGAATTCTCTCAAGAGTCAGAATCTTTATCAAAATCTTTGCTCATCAAGTATCAGATGTACAAGGAAGTTCTTTTAATGCAGGTGTCAACATAAAATGAAATCCAATGAAATAAATATAGAAAATAATACAATATGTATAAATAAATAAATATACAGTATACAATCTGAGTAGTACAACTGATGTGCAGTGAGAGTTAAGTGTAGTCAAAACCAAGTATTGAAGTATATATAAACAGTATGTACAGTCAAAATTGAGCTAATAGAGCTAATATGAATGTAAGTATATTTATAATATATGTATATTACAATACATGAAAGTGCATATGTGACTGACTAAAGTGGAAAAGGTTCTTCTTCAGAAGAATTGTGGCATGGGATATTCGGTGATAATGTACATTACAGTGTGTGTAATGTGTGTAATAAAGTGAATGTGCAGCAGTTTAAAGCAGAGGGATGTGAGAAGTGTCGGTGTTTAGGATGATGACCTGGGGAAAGAAGCTGTGGAACTGTGAACGGTTGGTCAGAATCTTTAGAGCTCTCATTCCTGATCTCTGCTGAGATGGAAACGTTTGGAAGAGACAGTGACCAGGGTCTGAGGGGTCAGCCATGATTTTTGCCGCCCTGTTCCTCACGCTAGATGAGTAAAGATCTTCAGTGAAGAGATTCCATCAGAGAATGTATAATGAGAAGAGCTGCCATTATAAAATGTCTTCTGCTAGAGGGCACTCCCGAGCAACTCCAAAATGATACAGAGTTTTGTGTGAAATCATAGTTCCAAATTAACCAGTTTTCTGAACACGGAAGAGAACATGAATATTTCTATACTGCTGTTATATATTTACTTAGGCAGTTAGCTGATCAGTTTGACAAACAATCAGCACTCAGTGGCAGTAATGCCAACCATTCAGCACTGAGAAGCTGTAATGCCAACCAATCAGCACACAGTAGCAGTAATGCCAACCAATCAGCATTCAGTAGCAGTGACATTAAGCAATCAGCACTCAATAGTAGTAATGCTAACCAATCAGCTCTCATTAGCAGTAATGCCAAATAATCAGCATTCAGTAGCAGCGATGCTAACCAATCAGCACTCAGTAGCAATAATGCTAACCAATCAGCACTCAGTAGCAATATTGCTAACCAATCAGCACTCAGTATTGGTAATGTCAACCAATCAGCACTCAGCAGCAGTTGCTAACCAATCAGCAGTCAGTAGCAGTAATGCCAACCAATCAGCACTCAGCAGCAGTAACGCTAACCAATCAGCACTCAGTAGCAGTAATGCTAACCAATCAGCACTCAGTAGCAGTAATGCCAACCAATCAGCACTTGGTAGCAATAATGCTAACCAATCAGCACTCAGTAGTAGTAATGCCAACCAATCAGCACTCAGCAGCAGTAATGCTAACCAATCAGCACTCAGCAGCAGTAACGCTAACCAATCAGCACTCAGTAGCAGTAACGCTAACCAATGAGCACTCAGTAGCAGTAATGCTAACCAGTCAGCACTCAGTAGCAGTAATGCCAACCAATCAGCACTCAGCAGCAATAATGCTAACCAATCAGCACTCAGTAGCAGTAATGCCAACCAAGCAGGACTCAGCAGCAGTAACGCTAACCAATCAGCACTCAGTAGCAGTAACGCTAACCAATCAGCACTCAGCAGCAGTAATGCCAACCAATCAGCACTCAGCAGCAATAATGCTAACCAATCAGCACTCAGTAGTAGTAATGCCAAACAATTAGCTCTCGGTTGCAGTAATGCCAACTAATCAGCACTCAGTAGCAGTAATGCTAACCAATCAGCATTCAGTAGCAATAATGCTAACTAATCAGCATTCAGTAGCAATAATGCTAACCAGTCAGCACTCAGTATTAGTAATTAAATGCTAAGTGCTGATTGGCTGGTATTACTGCTGCTGGCATTACTGTGATTGTTGGCCTCTGTGGCTTCCCTCATAGAGTCCCTTCTTGCTCTGGTGCTGAGGGACAGCCTTGTCTAGACAGTGGCTGAGTGGAATGACGCAGCTTTAATTTCTTCAAAATTGATCTAGCAGCACTCCCTGGGAAATCTAAAGATATTATACACCCAGATATTATTTTGTAGCCTTTTCCTATCTTGTGCAGATCTATAACTTTTCCTTAGAATGTTATTTGGTCTTCATTTTCACAGCTTTCCTTACAGTTCACAGTATGATCAATGGTTCCCTGGACAAGTATACACGTGCAAACATGCATCGGACTACTGGATTATATGTCCATATTATCAGATACATTTTTTGGGTTTATATGGTGTATTTTTGCTATTTAAAAAGAATAACACTGATACAGTTTGTGTTATACTATCATTTAAATTACATCCAGTTAAATAACCTAAACCACTTTGTTTACAGCAATGATCTTGTTTTAAGTAGATGTATGTGATCTATGTGCACAGGAACAGAAGCCCAGTGGTCAGACAGAACTCTGGGGACATCTAGTGGACATTGCCTTACTTTACCTTCATCAACAAACCAATTCAGTAAACTGACTATATGGTAAGTTATTACAGTTTCAGAACTGGCAACATATTAACATGGGATGATAAATGTTTAGCTTCACGATGGACTGTAACAAAGAAAAATAAAAGTAATGAGGCACAAAATACTTATTTGTACGTAAACGACACCTATGTCACTAATCTATAATCAGTGTAATTTATACATTCCTCTTGCACTGACTTTTTTTCCCTCTGATGTCTGTTTATAATGTTTGTATGTATCAAACAGTCGTAATTCAAAACTACATAACCATATTAATTCTGTATCCCTTAGAATTAAACAGGCTGTTTTTGTTACTGTGCCTTTTAGACTGATATATGTAAATCATCTCTGCTCTGATTGGCTGCCCTGTATTGTGCCTCGTTCATGAATCAGTGAGGACTAAAATACTCCTAACTTCACCGTGAGTGAGCGGAGCTAAACTGCTCCTAGGCTGAATAGATGTTTGTTTTTGTGACATCAAACTCCAAGATTCAGTTTTGTTATGATACAGGCCCTTTAATGTTCCTCTCAAATGCTTTTACATTCTATTTTTAATAGTATTTTATTATTATTTTTGTGTTTTTTCTGCGTCTGTTTGGACTTCACTCTTTAATGGAGCACTTCAAAAAAAGTGGTATATACATAAAGATTAGTGTTATTAAAAAGTTTTCTTGCGGTACTATTAATTAGTCTTTGGTGGATGCAACTAAATTCCTACCGTTATTAATGTGTGTAGCTCTTTTATTTTAATTTAATTTGATTTTATGAGTTTTAATGTTTAAAATAATATAGTTTTCTTAACTGGAAAGTTGCAGCACGTGAGTGGGCGGGGCCATTCCAGCGGCGGTGCTGATGCGTCATCGAAGAACTTTCCTGTGATTGGCCAAACGGCGCCTGCGGTTGTAGCCAATGAAAGCGAACTGAGTCTGCACACTAGCACGTAAAGATGCGGCGAGAAACTTAACGGAATGCACTCGCGGGGGCTTCAAACGGTGAGTGGTCTGGAAACGTGAGTTCGGTTCGGTTCGGTTTGGTTTAACGGTCGCTGTTTTTCCTCAAAAGAGTCAAACTGCTCCTAAGGCGGGAGGAGAGAGTGAGTGAAGGCGACGAGGCTGAAGTTGGCTTCTTAGTCGCCAGTTTCTTGTTCGAATTGTCCCGTTCCACCTTAAATAGTGAAGCAGTTACATTCAAAGTGACACTAACTGTGCCATTTAAGGTGGAACGGGACAATTCGAACAAGAAGCTGGCCAATGAGAATCAGAAGCTGACTTCAGGTTAGTGTGAAGGCACAGAATTGAAGTCCCTAACGGCTGAAAATGTGTCTGTTTACTCAACGTTAGCAATAGCGTTAGCCTTAAATTAACACTTAAGGTAGAGCTGGACAATATGAGACTATTTATCGTTATCGTGATAAATTACATCGCGATATTTCACAATATGCTTTGCTGAGCATGTCGTGGATATCGCCAGTACTTAAAAACACGTCCCAACTTCTTGTTTTATTAAAACGACAGCAAAGGTTGATGCTTAAGGTCGTATTTAATTGGATTCAATGGTGTGAAATGTTGAATACAGGATTCATAGTATTTTTTAAAATGTGGGATTTCTTTGTCTGTTATAAGTTATGAGAAAAAGGTTGTCAGAACAAGTAAATATTACTTCTCGTCAAAAAACCTCCTAAAGTATCATGATATTACATTTCGCCATATCGCAATGTCTAACCTGAGGTAATTTTGCGTTATTGTGTTGGTATTTTGGTCAGGTACAACTTCATTTACATGAGACAGTCTCACATACCACATGTTATTATTTTCAGGAGACCCTAGGCTACTTAGATATGTCATTATTTGACATGTAAATGCTAACAGAATTATGATACCTTTATGAATTTGGGTTATTTTTTTTTATTGAAAATTTACTTCGCTGTTTATTTGTTTTCTTATTCTTTTTGCTTATATAAACATTAAAAATAGTTGTCAGCTCAAGTACCTTCTCAGAAATCGTTAGACTAGAGTGTGTAAAAATGCAATAATTGATTGTGGTTTATTTCCGTAATTATTATTGAGTAAAAATAAATGATTAGCATTAGGTTGACATGTTTTTATTGATTTTCTGTCGTCTGGCATCCATGCTGAGTGCTAAAACTTTCAGCAAGGCTAGCCTTGGAATATTTTGTTCAGGGCAAGATGAGTACTTTTGAAGTAAAACGTATTATTCAGATTCACATAGATATTTACTCTCAGCTGTTATAATCTTTGAAATTTTGTTGTTAGAATGAGTCTGATGCACTGAACAGAAGCAGCTCAGAGCGCACAGCTCTCTCTGTAAAGAGTAATTCCACTGATGTTTCAGAATTTCTGTATAATTCAGCCCTTGAGATGTAAACAAAGTCATTTAGAGTGCTTTGTTTGGTGTGTTGAAGAGCAGTGGTCACCAGCCCTCCTCCTGGAGATCTGCCTTCCTGCAGGATTCACCTTTTGCCTAAATCTAACAAGCCTCCTTCAGCTAATCGAGGATTTCTGAAATCAGTACTTGGATGGATCGTGTCAATTAGAGTTCGATCTGAAGTCTGCAGGAAGGATGAGGGTTGGTGAGAAACCTTTGACTCTTTCTGTACAGTGGTGGTGATGTGAACGAGGGGTCAGGACGTCTACAACATTTTATTTACTACCCAAAATGACCAGTAAATCTACCTCTGTCTTCTGAGATTTTATATGCTATGTTGATGATAGTAAAATTGTGGTAAATCTGGAGAAAATAATGTTTTCTTTTTTGCCCTGTATGTATCTCTGCCCTGAATGGATTTTGAAAGTAGGTTTTAAGCCAAAACTTTATCTCAGAACTATCGTAAAAGACTATCTCAGACATCAGGCAGGTAGTGTAGTCATGCCCATTTATGTAATAGCTTCCTGTGAGGAAGTTATTACATAAACTGTTTTTAAGGCATTCAGCTCTTCAGATGTCTGGTTCCTATCACCACCACTGTGAACAGTCCTGCCTCAGGTAGAACGCATTTCACATCAAACCACTCTGAATGACTCTGGTCACATCTTCAAGCTTTAATTATGTAGAAATTGGTGGAATTCTTCTTTAATGCTCTGCATTTTCTCTGCTTGTTCTCGAGCTTTGTTTTCAAGGTTAACGCTGCATTTTCTGAGCTCATTTTCAGGCTTCATTTCGGTTTTTGTAGGGTACTAACAAAGCCTGTAAATAAGCATGGAAACTGTTTTTTCTGTGTTTATTTACAGGCTCCGTTTTCATTCCATTTTAGTTTTTGTAGCATACCAATGACAAATACTTGAAGAGAATAAGCCGAACTACATTTAGTGTGATAAATATATGAAAATGCCACACTACTTGTTCTGAATGGTCTAAAGTGGTGAAATTGTGTAGTCATACCGAGGATAAACATATTACAGCACTCATTTGATGTCATTTTAGCACTTTATTGACAATCAGATTTAAATGTTCTGTAGGTTTGGTCCCATTATGCATCCAAAAGACTACATTTAATATGGTAAATTAAGTGATTACACAATTAAATTTGGTTTGATATGAAAAATGTCTTCAGATTTGCACTCAGATGAGCACAGAGGGTATGTGGACTGATGAAAACTTCAGTTTTCAGATATGGAGGTTAAGAGGTTAAATCAGTGCTTCTCAAACAGGTCCCAGCTAGTCCACATTTTTGTTCTATCCCTATGTGTTGCAAGTTAGGAAAAAATCTGGACCGGGTTTAGAACCACTGGGTTAAACAAACCACTGACCTACAAAACTGCAAACCCAACAAGATGCTGTGGTAACAACTATATGCTAATAACCCAAAAATTATTTGCTTAGGCTAAAATGAGCTGTGAGACAGCCTTCACTGAGTACCAATCCACACCAGAGCTGCCTTTGTAGTTTAGTTCACACCATGTTAAGGAGCCGTAGGTGTCAAAGCTAAAGTGTTAAAATGACCAAATGGTCCAGAATCTTTCTGATGGTGTATTGTGCTGTCATCTATTTACGTGCCACTAAAAGCAATCTCTTCTTTCAAGACAGAACAATGGGCAGCCATCTGGGAGGAAACCTTGCCCTGCTGCTCATTCTCCATGTCACTGCAGTGAAGATGTGCCACCCTAGATGTCAGTGTGAGATTGAGAGCTTTGGATTATTCAGTAGTTTCAGCCTGACCAAAGTGGACTGCAGTGGCGTGGGCCCAAGCATGGTTCCCACTGCGATTCCTTTGGACACCTTGTCCCTGGATCTTTCTTCTAACAGCATCCGTTCCATCGAAGACTCTGAGCTCTCCGGACCGGGGTACACAACCCTTTCCAGCCTCGACCTAAGCAACAACCTCATCTCTGTTGTGAACGGCAGCATGTTTTCCAAGTTGCACTATCTTGAGACGCTAGATTTGAGCCAGAACTACATTGAGGTCCTCATGGAGGGTTGTTTCACTGGCCTGCCTCTCGCTGAGGTGGATCTGAGCTACAACCAGATTCATGAAGTTAACCTGAACGTGTTCGCCGTCAGGAACCAAGGAAGGCCTCTGAGTGTGGATCTGTCTCATAATATGTTAAGGGCTGTTACAAGGATTCCACATCTACAGCTTCCCAACATACAGAGTCTTAATTTGGCAGGAAATCAGCTGAGTTCAGTACCAGAACTCCAGGATGTCTCGCTTAGGTCATTGAACCTGGCTAACAACCCCATTTCTGTCATTGATAAACAGAGTTTTGCTGGTCTGAAGGATCTAGTCCACCTCTCTCTGTCTGAGATGCCCAAGTTACACACAATCGAGCCTCAAAGTTTGCAGGATCTTCAGAACCTCCAAGTGCTTGACCTGTCGCATAACAGCAAACTGAAATCATTGAACCCAGACGTTTTCAGTGGCCTTAAACTGTTACAGGAGCTCAATATGTCAGACTCTGGAGTTGTGTCTTTACCCACAAATATCCTACAGCTCCTCCCAAGCATTAGGGGGATTGTTCTGAGGGATAAAGTGAACTGTTGGAAGGTCCACAAACAAGAACCATTTCATAGACATGCCAGACAGAGTAACACCATGGAAGCGCTGACCTGCGATGTGACTGGCGTTGTTCAGTGATCTAGCATGTCCTGAGCTGGAAATGAATTAAATATCAACATTCTCGAGTGTAACATGTGCCTTTCTTTTTAAATGGTCACTTTGCAGTATTAGGGCTTTGGTTCACTGTTAGCATTCAGTGTAACGCTTGATAAAACATTGAGCTATCTTTGTAGCTGTTCAGTTTCAAGCTTCATGAGCATGCTTCTCTTTAAATAGACCTCTAAAGTCCTGTTATCATTCAGTAGTTGGCATCATGGTGATATTAGGAACTCCAGGTCTAAGCTGAATCCTTTATATGAATAGCCTTTTCAAAAATTGGTTTTGTCCAGTATATATTTCTCCTCTGACTGTCACTGGATACTCTGAATTACGAGGTCATTAACAAGTCAGAATATGAATATTGCTACATGCAAGCTAACATTGCTGTGCACTGAACTGATAAGACTGGCAACCTCACCAAAATACCCCACACAAACCAGAAAGCTTTGTCAAGTGTGGTGGTTTTCTAGTGTTAGCTTGCTTGTAGCATGTATGTAGCAATTATTCATGTTTAGACTGCTGAGTGATCTTGTAAGATTTCCACTCACACTTCTGCCCATGCAAGTTTAAGCATAATGCATCAGCTTTTAACAGTGTCAACTATTTTCATTACACCAGAGTTCCCAATATGGGCATGATGCTGACTACAGAATGACTGACAACTTCAGAGGTCTGTGTGTAATGTAGTGCTACTCCAACTTTGGCTTTTTAAATTATTTACCGTTTAATTTGCTGGCTTGCTGGTTGCAGGCAAGTTCTTGAATATTATCCACAATCAAATTACTCATTCAATCCAGCATGATACGGTAGTTTCTTCACTCTCATTTGTACAGCAAAAATAAGTATTGACATGTTGATGTTTCCATTTACAGTTTTTAGAGCATTTAATATTACAAAAGTGCAATATTTGAAGCTGTAGAATGGCACAGTTGGACTGGTTGTTTAGCAGCGAATAAGCACTGATCTAACGTGCTAACTGAGTTAACAGCATGCTAAATGTAATACTACAATACAGTATGTTCTGTTGTTACACTCCTAGTAACTTGATCCAAACCATTTTGAACCTGTCATGCTTTAAGCATGTACTACATCACATAGCCTTGGTTTCCCAGGCAGGGATGAAGCCTAGACCTGGCCTGCATTTTCCTTTCAATAGAGAATCTCCATTCCAGCACTAAGCTTAATTCCTGTTTGGGGAAACTGGCCCATTAAAAGTAAACTTTGGCCAAAATGATAAATGTAACCATTGCCACGTGTCGTAAACATGCCTTCTCTCCTCCTACAGCGGAGACTGTAGACTCTAGAGTGAGATATTTTGGTTTAAAAACTAGGAAAGACTTTTATATCGAAATTGCCCTGTGAAAGAATCCAATTTTTTATTATAGAATACATTATCAACAATTTTTGTGTCTGAATGAGTTTTAAATGGAGAAACTTTAGCCTAATAACACAGAGCCTGTGAACTACCTGTAGATGCGTTCACCAATCAGAGGCAGCAAAAACCCCATGTTCTGTATATGTGACATCACAACCATCACAACTAGTTTGATGCACTCAACATTTAAGCTTCCTTCCAGAAAAAGAAACTGTTCTGCTCTTTTTGGCCAAAAAACAGACCTGCAAATTAATTTATAGAAAATGCATTTAAATCACAATCACAATACTGGCCAAACAAATCGTAATTGGATATTTTTCCAAAATCGTTCAGACCTACTAGGAAAACTCTCTAGAAGGAGGACCTTGAAAAGTGGATGCATGACGGTGGACTATTTGAAATAATGTTTTGGTTGGTTTGTTTAGTATTCCAACAGCTGGCCAATGCAGAAGGAAGCCAGATATCAACTCTGCATATATTGGCCTCTACATGAGTGGATTATTATCACTGTGGGGGGATTCCCAATGCCATCGCACTGGGAATCAAATATTTAAGTGATGCATTCTGGATATTGTAGTGAGAGGACATTGATGATGAAAACACAAAGTATACAAAATCACAAATTCTGTTGGCTGAAGAGGCCGACAGATGCAGTGCTGTGCCATAGAATATTACATAACCAGGACAAAATATTAAAGGCTAGTTTTAGGCCCCTAAAACTGAGGATTTGTGAGCATATTTGCCTTTTGTCTTATTTTCCTTAATCCAGGAATTTTGACCTTACATTTAACCTGCATTCAAGTATGAAACTATGCAACTGTGCTAGTATTTTAATATGTGCAATGTTCGAATGTGTTTCAGAACAGATGTAAATAGTTTGCGTGTTAATAATTCCGACTAAGGCTCTTCTGCAGGCAGAAATTGCTGTTTTTATGATGAAAAGTGCTATGTTTGATAGTATTTGTACATGTATTTCTATGTGGTTACTAAAACACAACGCTAAAACATGAATCAATATCAGGTAACTTTGGTTTCATTTGTATTTGTGGATAAATATCATATACCAAAGAATGTTTTATCCTATGCTGGAAATAAAAACTGCAATGCAATGTCAAATCTGATGTCAGGGTTTTTTTTTCTGTGCTAAAAGCTGTGAATTCTTTCTTCGTCTGTGAATTTGTCTGCCAGACTCAGGCTCTTGAGGCATTTGGCTCACCTCTTCATTCCTTTGGCCTGTTGGTATGTCTTTTGATGAAAGATATGCAAGTAGTCAAAAGAGATCCTCATCCATAAGAGAAATGGGGGCCTCGGTGAAGAACGAAGAAGGTTCCTTAGTCAGCCTGAGAGGCGTCAGAGCAAACCGCCCTCACTGTGAGATCATTAGAATGAACATTTCACTTGTTTTTTTCTGCTCTGTATGCTTTTCCAGCAGAATTAACTTTGTTGACATATTAACCATTTAGTCATGCATAAATTTTTAAATTTTACATTTTTTTGAAAGAGTGCAATTTTTTTATTATAGAATACATTATTAACATTTTTTTGTGTCTGAACGAGTTTTAAATGGAGAAATTTTAGCCTAATAACACAGAGCCTGTGAACTACCTGTAGATGCGTTCGCCAATCAGAGGCAGCAAAAAACCCATGTTCTGTATACGTGACATCACAACCATCACAACTAGTTTGAAGCATTCAACATTCAAGCTTCCTTCCAGAAAAAGAAACTTCTGGTCTTTTTGGCCAAAAAACAGACCTGCAAATTAATTTATAGAAAATGCATTTAAATCACAATCGCAATATTGGCCAAACAAATCGCAATTGGATATTTTTCCAAAATTATTCAGCCCTACTAGGAAAACTCTCTAGAAGGAGGACCTTTTGAAAAGCGGATACATGAAGGTGGACTATTTGAAATAATGTTTTTGTTGGTTTGGTTTGTTTTCCAATAGCTGGCCAATGCAGAAGGAAGCCAGATATCAATTCTGCATATATTGGCCTCTACATGAGTGGATTATTATCACTGTGGGGGGGATTCCCAATGCCATCACACTGGGAATCAAATATATCAAATTAGTTATGTATACATTTTTAAAAATCAGTGGAGTTTCCCTTTGAGTCCTCACCCCTGCATTTTTACTAGCCTACGGCTACTGTTAACTTCACCTGTACTAAGCCTGCTGTGCTCGGATTGGCTGGAGCCCCGAGTCCGTTACTAGGGAGACCGAAGCCCCGCCCTCCAGCGGACCGGGCCCCTCCCTCTTTCCCATCATGGCTCCTGCGGCGGACAGGCTGGGTTACTGGGGGAGACCAACCTCAACGCTGGACTGGTGCGAAGAAAATTATGTCGTCTCATTTTACATCGCCGAGTTCTGTAAGTACAGCCGAAACGATCCGTGTAGTTGCGGGAGACGCGCATTTGTGTCCGTTTTGGGGCCGTGAGTGGGCATGTTGTGTGGCGACAGAGGCCGGCCGACCGTTACGAAGCTGAAAGTCAGCTTCTGATTGCAATTTTTCCGTTCCACCTTAAATAGAGCAGAAGTAACAGTAACTGCTGTACCATTTAAGGTGGAACGGGGAAATTCGAGCAAGAAGCCGACTAAGCTCAGGCGCCAGGACGTAACCGCTGCACCATTTAAGGTGGAACGGGAAACTTGGAATGAGAAGCTGACTTCAGGCGCCTGAATGTAACGTTAACTCCTACTCCAGTTAAGGTGGAACGGGAAACGTTGAACAAGAAGCTGGCGAATAAGAGTGAATTCAGGCGGCTGAATGTTACCGCTCCAGTTTAAGGTGGAACTGGACAATTGAATAGAAGCTGGCGAGTAGGAAGCCAAGTTCAGCCTCGTCCGAGCTTATTTTGAGGCTCGAAAGTCATAACAAAGCGAACGAATGACCCAGAAGAGCCACTCTAATGTCGGCCAGGGACGGTTTAGTCTCGCAGGGATTGTTATTTATCGCCGTGTTTGCTCACAACGTTACATTTCATTGGTGTAACAAGTCATTCAAATGGGAACTGAAGCTGTTCGTCCTTACGGGACGTTACACGCTGCTACGACGCGCGTTCACGCACGGTGACGTCACGACGCCGCGCGTTCACGTGTGGTGGGCCCATAACGGTGGTCAACAGAGTATGTTTTCACATAAATAAAGGTGTTTGCGTTCAAAAAATGTTATCTGTCACGATCATGTGAGGATTTTATTGAAGGAGAAAGGGTTCTTTAGTAAAGAAAATGGTTCTACATAGAACCATGCACAGCCAAAGAACCCTCTGCATGCGTAAAGGGTTCTTTGCATGGTGAAAGTGTTCCTCAGATTGATGGAGAATGTGTTGTATATGGTTTTATATAGATTATGTTTGAAAAGGGTTCTTAATAGCACCGAAAAGGGTTACTCTATTGTTACAAGCTTGACATCATCACAATAGAAGAACCCTTTATGGTGTTATATAGCCCTTTTATATAGCCCCACTCAAAAAAAAACCAAAAAAACAAAACAAAAAAAATTATATATATATATATATATATATATATATATATATATATATATATATATATATAACCATTTATAGCACATTCTCCATCGGTCTGAAGAATGCTTTCATCCATGCAGAAGGTTCTTTGAGTGTTCATGGCTCTTCTAGAACCATTTCATTTACTAAAGAACCCTTGTGGAACCATCTTTTTTAAGAGTATAGCGTAAAGTTACTTCCACACATCAATATGCTAGACAGTTTATGCAAAAATATAACTTCAATATGTTTAAAAGATTAAAAAGAAGCAAGTTTAGGTGGCGCCAGGTTACTGTGCTAAGATGTCTACATTTTATTCAGTTTACCACGTTTTTACCCACAGAAGTTAATGTTATATTACTTTGTGATGCTAATATTTCTTTGTAACACCACATAAATAAATGTCATATTTCTTTGTAGTTCTAATTCAGGTGCCTTTAGTCCCATTTTCTGCATTTTAATGATGTGTATGTATCAGCATTGACAGATGTACATGAAAATTGTCGGATATTGGCATCGGCCCACAGTTACAGTATCGACTTTCAACTAGTGACCCTAGTTTTAACATTGGATGCAGAAGTTGTACAGCAGCCAATCCCAACCTTTAGTCAACATTAGTGGCACAACCCCATATACAGCCGTCGTAATGTGACCACACCATTGGCACTGTCAGTGTGCTTGGTGTTGACTCAACCAGTAACTGGAGCTATGGGTGGAATGTGCAGCGTTCAGTAAAAGTGACCACGTAACCCACTGGGACAAAAGAGGTACCCTGGGTTCACTCTGCATTGTCTTGTACGGGTTAGTGTTGGTACAGCTAGTTTCATTTTCGAAAACAGTAGCCAGCTGGCCTTTGGTGGCCAGACAGAACTATGAGGGACATTCTGTTAAAGGGCTCATTTCCTACCATGTTCTTGTACTTTATGTTTTCCCCTGAGGTTATAACGTTTGTGTGGTTTTATGTACCAGTAAGACTAGGCAAGCCTGGTTTTGCCAGACCACCAGGCCACACACTGTCTCCTCTGCATTTTTTGGTAAATAATGCCAGAACACCACTCAAAAGTGAGGGGAACACAGGCGTCAGTACATGACACCCCTGAAACCCCACAACCCACACTTGTAGGTTCAGTATTACTATGTAAAGCCTGTGGCAGTATGTGCATTTTTGCAGTCAAGCCAGTTTGAGTGCTTGGGGCAGCAATATACATTCATACCCCACAGAGAAGTTAACCAGTTAAAGTTTTTAGCTAGACAAACGATCTGCTCCAAAAACACAAAACTATGGTTATGTTCCAAAATAAGAAGCTGACCCATCACTGAGCAGTGGTGTGGTAGTTACTCAAGAATTATTCCATTACAAATTACTGCTTCTCTCAAACTGTAATGGGATCGCTTTACCTACTACTTCCAAATTAAAGTAATTCTCATTACTTTACATCTGTGTTAATTTCTAAACCCCAAACAATCTGTGCCAATCTCACATCATTTAAAAGGCATCGCAGCACCTCATAAGCTAAATCCAGTGTGAGAAAGTGAAAGTAAAACACTGTTATTTGGCAACTGGTTGGGAAAAAAAGCTACTAAACAAGCAGTTCAGTATTAACTACCATTCATTAAAAAAAAAGATATAAAAAATACTGGGGCTACTCGCACACAAACAAACAAACACAAACACACACACACACACATTTTCTAAGCCGCTTATCCTTCTGGGTCGCGTGGGGGGAAGCTGGAGCCTATCCCAGCGGTCATTGAGCGGAAGGCTGGGGCTGCTCTAACTATTTAATTAAACTGCATTGCTTAGTTTATTTAACTCTTCGTGCCCCGTTTTAAATAAAAAGATAAAAAGCAATTGTCTTCTTGTTGATATTCAAATGCTTTGCACGTACAAATATAAAAATCAGAATAACAAATGCCCTTCCCTAGTGATAAAACTCTGCTACTCTACGCTTAAATTTGGCTACGCATTCTTTTTTTCTTTTGTTTCCCTCTCGCTCTGGACTACTGTCGATTTAACATGCTCAGTAGGCTGACAAAACAGCTGACAAGGACCCACTGGATCTCCCTAGGCTTAAGTTAAACTTTCTGTCTCATGGCAGCCGCAACCCACAGCATAATATTTGAAGCAAGAACACACACTCACACGAAGCGCAACAGCCTTAGCCTTGGCTTACCTAACGCTGTGTAGCCGGAGTCTGAGTCTTCTTCTGTTGGATGTATGGCAGTTAGGGTGCATTATCGCTGCCTACTGAGGGCTAGCTCTACCCCTCACGCATGCACGTTTCAACGAAGTCGTCAGTCAGTGAGTGAGCAGAAACTGCACCTTCCAGGCCGACCCAGTAGGCGGTCCAGCAAAAACAGTCATAATTTATTTATACATGACCGTGGTACAGCCTCTCTTTATTCTTTAGAATTAAGCTACAGTGCCCCAAAGACTGATATATGTAAATGAGCTCCATTCTGATTGACTGCGCTGTATTGGGCTCTGTTCTAAATGCAGTCTGCACTGAAACACCCTTTGTAACTTCATTGTGAATGGGCAGGGCTAAACCACTGTAGGTTGAACCACTGGGGAGTGATCGGTATGTTTTAAAACTTTAACAGTGTTTACATACTACAGCAAAAAGAAAAAGATAAATTTGATTGTACTCTTTAAATTGGAATATATGTATTTCATTTATCCTCTTATGTAAGGTAGTATTTTAATGTGGACATAGAGCATTACACTTGTACATTACCTAATAATTAGAATAGTATTCTTGATTAACTGATTTGCATGTAATTATTTAATCATTTGCATGTTTATTGCTGTTGCTCTCTTTCAGTATGCCTTCATTGTCACTGGCTAAATTGGAACCTGCTTAAAAAGTACAGTGTATAAGTATCAGTAATGTATACACTACCAGCCAAAAGTTTAGAAGTAAAGTGTTTTTTACTGTCTACCACATTTTATAATAATAATAAATGATATGTTTTGATATGGAATGACGCCAGACAGACATATTTGCTTTTTACCAGGCAAGGCTATATTTAGACCTCGCCCTCTTTCATCGTAATACAATTTATGGTATTCTGATGAAATCACGCAGTTGTGCTGCCACCATTTTGATAGGCAACTTTAAGTTTGTCTTCAGAGGAACTGTGTCCACTCACTGTCCACTCTGTTAGACACTCCTACCTTCTTGGTCCACCTTTTAGATGTAAAGTCAGAGACATGGGCTCATCTGCTGCTGCACAGTTTGTGTTGATCATCCTCTACTTCTTCATCAGTGGTCACAGGACGCTGCCCACAGGACGCAGCTAGCTGGACATTTTTAGGTGGCGGACTATTCTCAGTCCAGCAGGTGTTTAAAAACTCCAGCAGCACTGCTGTGTCTGATCCACTCAGACCAGCACAACACACACTAACACACCACCACCACGTCAGTGTTACTGCAGTGCTGAGAATGATCCACCACGCAAATAATACTTGCTCTGTGGTGGTCCTGTGGGGGTCCTGACCACTGAAGAACAAGGTGAAAGGGGGCTAACAAAGTATGCAGAGAAACAGATGGACTACAGTCTGTAACAGTGGCTGGTCGGTGTAGATTTTGAATGAATTGCCAATTTCTGTTTGTGTTGTGTTATTTGATCTGTAGGGAACACGGTCAGTAACCTGATTATGATCCTCCCTCCCATATATGGAGCCCTGCAGACGTTTAAAAGCGGACTTGAAGTCCGTTACGTGTGGTCATTTTTAGGACTTGCAGGTAAGCATGAGCAGAGCACTAAAACTTTCTAGAAGAAGTTATATACTCTGCTTAAGCATGAATTCTCACCACATGCTGCTTAATTAGGTGGCTAACAAAGATCATTATTTACACTGTATGAGTAGCTCTGCCTCAATATGCATGTATAATCAGAGAATGGCGTAAGATCAGTGTTGCACCTGTGCTGTTCTTTTATGCTGTTACTGTTATTGATATAGCTGTTGGCATTGGTTCTTGGTGCTTCCACATGACACTGCAGTACGAAATGCAGGTGAGACAATCTTTCCTTCACTTCTGCACCCATACTGAAAATGTCTATGAATCTGCTTTATGTACTGGAGAAGGAAATCTCAGATGGATCTTTTTCCAGTGTATAAAAACATTTTTTTTGTCTTGATTTTCTTATTTCCTGTTTGTCTTCCAGCCATGTATGCCAAAAGCTTTAACAATAATTCACTGAATTATTAATCAAAACCTCACAAGCCTTCAGCATGTCCCCCATCCTGTTGTCTTTTTGCAGTTGCTAGATGAGTTGCCGATGATCTACAGCTGCTGTGTCTTCGTTTACTGTTTGTAAGTGAATTTCTTTCTTAATTAATTTGAATTAAAGTAGGGCTGTACAACCTGATTATAAACAGTGGGAACCAAAAGTTTGAGACCTTTGTGTGTGCCTCAATATTGAGCCCTCATGTAGTCACTTGGATCTTTTCCTCCCGCCGTCTTGATCCAAAATCAAAGTCAGCTGGGTCAACTGTTTCATGCAGTGCCTGTCTAAGTAATACAAGATAGACTATATGGATAAAAGTATTAGGACACCTACATGTTACACCTACAGGAGCTTTTATGAATCCCATTCTAAATCCATAGGCATTAATGTGGAGTTGGTCCCCCCTTTGCAGCTATAACAGCTTCCACTCTTCTGGGAAGCTTTCTACATGATTTTGGATGTGTCTGTGGAATTTTTTGCCCATTCATCTAGAAGAGCATTTGGTCAGACACTGAGGTTGGACGAGAGGGCCTAGCTTGTAATCACTGTTCTAGTACATCCTAAAGGTGTGTGATGGGGTTGAGGTCAAGTTCTTCCACACCAAACTCACCCAGTCATGCCTTTATGGACCTTGCTTTGTGCGCTGGGGCTCAGTCATGCTGGAACAGAAAAGGCTCTTCCCCAAACTGTTCCCTTTCCCTTCACTTGAAACCCATAAGTGAGTGATTCAACAGAGGATAGGCACTGTGCACTTCAGTACAAGGTGGCCCCACTCTGTGTTTGCATGGTCTACCGCTTTGTGTCTGAGCTGTAGTTCAATTTCACAATAATAGCAGTTACGGTTGGCTGGGGCAGATCTAGCAGGACGTAAATTTCACAAACTGACTTGTGGCAGAGGTGGCTATGATGGTGCCATGTTTAGTCACTGAGCTCATCAGTACGACTCATTTTACTGCCAGTGTTTCTGGAAACTGCATGGCTATGTGCTTAATTTTATCTACCTGCTAGCAGTGGGTATGGCTGAAACACCTGAACTCAAAAATTGGGAGGGGTGTCCCTATTCTTTTGTCCATATAGTGTATAAATATGAGTGTATGCCGCTCATACTGGTATACTGTTTCAAACAGGAACAGTGTAGTTACTGTACTGCTATTGTGCTCATACTGTGCAGCCCTAATGCACTGTTATTGTCCTATGTTGGCTCCTCTTCTGATAAGCAAGATTACATTTTTATAATTTCACTTTCTCATGCTCTTCTGAACTATTATTGTCGTAATCTGACCCGCTGCATTTCTGGTATTACAGATATGAGTGCTTCAAGCAAGAAAATGCCATTAACTACTTCCCAATCGTACTTCTCCTTTTCTTCAGTATTATTGTTAGTGTGGTAAGGCCTCCATTATCATTGTTCTACGCCACAATATCATGAAAAATAGGAAAAAATAAATATATATGCATGTTTTGAATGAGCTGTTTCCACAGTCTTCTACCTTACTGTTGACCTTCATACAAGCATTTGTTGTTTGTTTAAATGTGCCCTGCCCAGATGTGCAGATTATGCGTTTCATACATTTTTCTCTTATCTCTCATGTAGGTGTACTTGCTGTGGAAAGAGCCAGTGTTTCATCAGGTATGAAATGAATCTGTCATAGTGTCTGCTCAGCTTTAATAATTAGTCCTACAGCAACACACATGGTGCTTTACCACAAGGACAAGTGAGGTCACTTGCTCTCCCTTTCACTGCAAGGCTGAGTGAGGTCACTGGCTATTGTAGTAGAGCAGATTAAATGTCTGAATGGAGGGATTTAAGAATCAATAGGACAGCATTTGATAGTGTACTGCGTTCCATAAGGCACACAGTGCTTCATATGTTTCCCTTTGCACCAAGCCTTTAAAACACTTAAGGACCAGAGTGTTCTGCCCAAACAAAGGAAAACAGCTAACAAAGCAGTTGTTGACGTTGTGGAGCCGGTTCTGTTTGAGGACATGAGGGCAGAAGCTTCCCCCACTCACACTGATGTGGGAGGCTGATATCTGAGTGCAGTCTCATTGTTAGGTTGCCATTTTTTCAGCCCTGCATCCACAGCAACTAAGCAGAGTATATACAGCCCACACGGTCATTTCCTACTTAATATGTGGTGGAACAGTACTGTATTGTAAACAGTACCGGTCGATGCATTTAACTGGTTGCCACATATTCTTTGCAGGTTATGTATGGCGTGCTGGTGGCTTGCTTAGTGATCCGGTCCGTTTTCATAGTCACGTGGTAAGTGAATGTGTGTTCATGACATTTATGATCAACTTGTATTTGATTTTTAATGTAAAACTAGAAGATTGTATAAAAAGTAGAGCAGTAAATAACAGAACATGCCATTAAATGCCCTTACTAGAGTATTATTTTGGTAAGAAAATATGTAAATACATAAGGACAAAACTAAGGGACAAAATCCACCCTTCTTTTATTTAATGTCCTGTCAAAATGGCTACCAAGTACAAGTTATATAAATGTATATGAGAGAACGCAGAAGCCTCAACAACTGAATAAATTATTTGTTCAGCTTCCATTCTTTTTTTGCTTTCAACTTTTTAAAGAAATCTGCAGGGATATTTTTCCACACCTCCAAAGTTCAGTCTTAGAAGTTGGTTTAGCATTTTCTGAAGTAATCCCAAACACATTCAGTGATGCTGAGGTCTGGACTCTGAGGTGGTCAGTCCATTGTTCTGAGAACACCAGCAGTTTCTTTGTTTGATGTGTCTGTCTGCTTTTCTCAGGGAGGCTTCTTGAACATCTACACATCCTTTCAGACCCATAGCGCTGAGCTGTCTTCTCACAGTGAAGGATGGACTGATTTCCTCCTCTGTCTCAAAGATGAAATCTTTAAGTGCTGTTTATCTGAAGGGGACAGTTTCAGTAGTCTAACGGGTCTTCCTTGTGGTTCTTAGGAGTCCTGTTTTATCTGTGTATTCTAATAATTTTTTAGACTCCAGTTTTGTTTTTTCACTTATTTCTCCTCCCTTATGCAAGTGAATTATCTTACATCTAATTTTCATGAAAAATAAATAACTTGTATTTATTGACCGTTTTGACTGGAAATGAAATAACTCAGGGGTGCTCTTTGACTTGCACAGTACTGTATGGCCTGTTCTCCATTTTCTGAGTCCTATAATTGATTGTAACCTGACCTCCTTGTTGTAGGGTGTATCCATGGCTGAGATCACTCTGTTACACGTCGTTAAGCATCTTCCTGTTAGGATTCATTTTATGGAACATCGATAATATATTCTGTGACTCTTTAAGGTGAGAGTGTGATCGTGAACCAGTTCCAAAATCTTTCACAGTTTTGCAAGCATTATAAACATACTTCTTTGAAAAAGTATAACTGAAGAATGTGTCTTTGTTTCTTAGAGCCACGAGGCAGAGGCTGCCGCCTGTAATCGGAGCAGTTACCCAGCTGCACGCATGGTGGCATATTCTAACAGGCCTTGGCTCTTATCTGCACATTCTTCTCAGGTACTTCCCTTCTAGTCTCAGCCTAAAAGAATATAGGCTTTGAATCATATGAAATTCTTTTTTTGAGTAAGTGCACACTTGGAATGAATTATCTGTACACGTAAGAGAATAAGATACATATCGCTCTTTTTCTGCTAATTTAAAATCTTGGTTAAAAGACACATTTTTCCATAGTCCGTAAATTATAAACAGCTCAGGCAATGCTATATTTAAAGTGTTCATCTAATGGAAAACTGAATTTTCTACTGTTCAAAAGTTTGCTTATCACTTTTCATAGTAATTTTCGGTAACACTTTATTTGGATAGCCAATTTAGATGCTTTGTAGATATTTAATTTACTTTCAAGTGACATTGAGCTAATATCTACTAAATTGACCATAACTCCTGGCTCTAATCCTAAACCTAACCTTAATCTCAACCCAAAACCTAAACCCAACCCTCACCCTGGTCCAAATCCTAACCCTGACCCCACCACTGTTTAGGATCAACTGAGTTTCAGCTGATAGTTTGTTAACAATTTGAACATCTGTAGATGATCTATAGGGGACTATCCTAATAAAGTGAGACACTTATTTTTTTGTTATTTTTGTTATTTATATATTTATATAATGTAGATTTAAGTGCTCTAAAATAGACAACAGAAGCACTTTTATGTGTTGTGTTTAATATTTCAAGTAATTTTCCATCAACAAGAAGTTACTCAAAGAAAACTAATATACAATAATTGTCCTTTTATAGGATATAGCTGTGACTTCTGAATTACCAGGCATTATTCATTTTATAACCAGTCATTTTAGAATCATCTACAGCTCTGTTCATCATTCTGGACACATCTTTTCTCTCTTTTAAAATAATCAATAAATTAATTAATTCTTAAAGCGTCTTTCTGATTATTTGAAATTATATAAACCTGGTAAATAATTTTTTACTTTTGAATAAATAATTTTATACTTTTGTCTGCTACTGTACTCGTTTTATATTATTGTACTGTTGATCTCAAGCTCTTAAATGTTAATGTGGACATGAAAGTGCAAAACGCATGTTTTTTTTTAAAATTCATTAAAAACCCAACTACTATATATCTACCTATTCAGACTACTGTGGTTTAGCCCAGCCCATTTTTGTTGAAGTTATAAGTAGTGTTTCAGCCCCGGACAGCTTTTTGAATGAGGCACAGTGCAGGGCAGCCAATCAGAACAGAGCTAATTTACATATACACTGACCGGCCACTTCCTTAAGTACACCTCCTTGTATCTATACTCACTGTCCATTTTATCAGCTTTACTTACCATATAGGAGCACTTTGTAGTTATACTATTACAGACTGAAGTTCAAAGTGCACCTATATGGTAAGTGGAGCTGATAAAATGGACAATGAGTGCAGATATAAGGAGGTGCACTTAAGGAAGTGGCCAGTCGGGCTGTATGTCAGTTTTGAAGGCTCAGAAACAAAAGCAACCTGTTTAACTGGAAAGTGTTAATGTAAAAATAAATTATGACCAATTTGGTACATTAGCCCACACATACATTACAAGCAAACTCCAGAGGCATTAATGAATAATAATAATCTTCCTGCTTTATGTTAATATTATCTTTTCTGTATTTGATTATGGTTGAAAAGAGCTAAGATGGTTTTCTTATGATAAACATTGTTATAATCTCTTGTTTCTCTCATCTACAGCCTCCAGATTCGCTCAACCTACCTCAAGTATAGACCTAAAGTAAAGGTGCTGCTTCATTTCATTCCATACAAGTCCATTCATACTCTTATCTTTAGCCATAACATGTTTATCCTTAAAGTTGTGCTGATGTTTCTAATGATGTTTTTATCGGTTGCAGTTTTTATGTGGCATTTGGCCCGTCCTACACATCGAGTCTCAGAGGACGAGTTGAAAGGGCGAGAAGGGGATGACGATGGCAGCCAATCACAGAACCTTGGACACACTACAAGGTCCAGCCAGTCGCCTCCAGCGGAGCCAGGAGGTGACCAGCAGCTGGACGTTTGGTCCTCCCATCCCCATATTCCCCTGCTTCGGTTTGCCAAGTGTAGTTTGGAGAGAGTTTCCCTGCAGTGGAGGGAGGGTCTGTTTTCCTTTGTTTATTACTGAGTAGGTCAGAGCTTCGTGCTAGACATGTAAGGAGATGGCACACTATTTGTTATGCACTTAGTAGGCTTACATTAACATCACTTACGAGGGACTAAATAGGGTTTTGAATATGGTCAAATGGACGTTTTGGTGGATGATTTTATTTCCTCTGTGTAGGCGCGGAGTAAACGTTGCATTGATTATATATTAGCTAATCGTATCTACTCATTATCAGCCTTGACATGATTGCTTTTTTAATCATTAACATATTTCAGCTGCACTACGTCCTCAGTATGTACAGTATATAAAATAGTGTATGTAATTTCCACAAAGATCATCAGTGATTTTGCTTTTTGGCCTAGAAATCTTTAGCTTTAGCTTTTTAACGATCAAAAAGGGGCGATGTAATCAAAATCAAAGTGACAAAATCGACTGTATTGATATTTTTGACTGAAATTCCATGTTTTACACAAAGCTGACGAAGATGGTATTAACCTTTTTTTTTCTCATGATGCGAGGAATTGTGGGAATGCAGGTATATTGTAGAATGTTACAATACAGAATAGTACTGTAAATTCCACAAGCTACTTTAGTGGTTTCCTTTGAATATCTAAAGCCTTTCCTTTAATTTTAACATATACGATGTCTTTGTGTCTAATATGCAATAACCAGCATTGATTGGTTTATTTTATTTATTTATGAACAATGAAGAAATACTGAACTTAGTTTTCACATGGCAAGGAATTATTTCATGAAGGAATTAGTCTACATTTTGGTTAAATGCCAGTATCCTTGTATTGGTCTTGCGTGGCCAGATGTGATCTTTTAACGAGAGAGCACGTCTGGGAACAACTTTTTGGTGCTGGATTGTGCCGAAATCCACAACAAACAAGGGAATGCCCGCCCTGAAACCCACCCTAAAGTCCTTTAGTCCCATTTTTACCGCATGTAATGTGGCCTCCACACATTTGAAACACGTATACATGCTTAATTGGAGTTTTTTGGGAGACATTTCAGCCGTGCTAACTTGCACTGCGTCTATGGGCTAACAACAGGGTTGTTGGCTCTAGAACAGTGTTGACGAGCGCACCATCACCCCCTAGTTTTTAAGCTCTGGATTTCTTTAGAAACTTCACACTCAGTTTGTTCCCACCTTAATAAGTCTGCATTACTGCCCAAAATTTCTCAGATGTTCTCATTATGAGATCACGCCTGACCCTGTTAAACTAGCCTTGCATTTGTTCCTATGGGGTGGTTTTCTGGACCCAAAACTCATTTTAGTCTCAGACTAGGATCAGTTTGAATAACCAGCCCTGTGTCTTCCATATGCCTGACTGTTGCTGTTCTTTATCAGACCAAGATTTCAAAATGTGAACATATATATGTTCTGCTTGTCAGTCTGTTATACTCTACTTATCAGTACATTATATATGCATAGGGCAGAGTACAAAGTCATAGTGCATCGTTGGTATTGCTTCTTTTTGCCGTTTTGTGGTCTTATATCCTTCTCAGTGAAGCTGCATACTCCACATGCACAGAGAGTTGCCAGTTTATTAGAAACAGCCACATTATACGTACTTTCACTGGCCATTTTATCAGAAACACCTATCACACAGTTGCACTTTATATGGTCACAATTGAAGAGTTTCATTCCAAATGCTATCCGAATAATGCAAAACAGTTTTATGTCTCCAATAAAGGTAAGCTGTGTATGTAAAGCCCACTAATATATATATATATATATATATATATATATATATATATATAATTGAAGCAATTCAATTGCTGTTGGAACAAAACCTCTTATCTATGTTTTTCGATTTTTGACATAACTTGAAAATGTCTGCTATGTAAATTTCATGATGAATGGACCAAAAGAAATGAAATTACTTGGAAAAAATTCTGGTTCCATTGACTTACATTATAAGTTATCATTTTGGATACACATGTGTATGTGTGTATATGTATGTCGCTGCTGTTGGAACAAAACCATGTATCTCCAAAATAACTTTACAAAAGAAGCTATAAAGTCACCCTTTACCCCATCCATCAATGAAAAAAGGACCACCATTAGCCAGATAAGTTTGTTAAAGGTCAGTAATTGTAAATCTGCAAAGTATACCTATATTGTGGCCATTTCTAATAAACTGGCAACTGATTTTAATCCCCATATATAAAGGGAATCATCCTTATATCATCCTCATATCATATGGGCAGATATTTGCTAAAAATGATCGACATTGGGCAGATGTTTCGTTTTGTTGTTATGTCGAACTGATATATCTGTTTTACTCTGGATAAGCAGAATGTTTAGGAGATGCTGGGCTAGTGCGCTAAAACATCTGCATTTTTATTCATGTTTCTGCATCTGTAAACCTGTAGAAAAAAATATTTCATTTCTCTAATGCTAATCCAGGTGTATTTAAGCCCAATTCGTACATTTTATAAATGTCTGTATATCAGTATCGGCAGATATGCACGCGAAAAATATCAGATATCGGCATCTGCCCAAAATTCCCAAATCGGTGCATCTCTAGTATTTATGTTTTCTTCAACAGCACAAAGCTTTAGAAGCACTGCACAACGCTTGGACCCTCGCGCGTACCTCCTGTTGTTGAAATCTTGTTGATTTGTGGACTACTTGAACTGCCAAAGACTGCGCTGACCTTCAGAAAAGCTGCGGTGCGCTGCGATGCGTCTGTATGTTTGGCTTTGCATTTCAATACGTTTTGTGCATCATGTTAAGTGATTATCAGTGCAGTATCAATATGCGAAGCACAGTTCTAACAGAGGAAGAGGGTCAACAAAGGACACATAGACTACGTAGTACATGTTCTGACTAAATTGCTGCTTAGAGTGGTTTAGATATATTGCTGATATTGAGGGTGCCTTAGGTTTTTTTTTCTGGTTGTATATTCCATGTTGCCTTGATGTCCGTCATATCTAATATCCACTTTATCCTCATACTCATAGCGTACAAGCCAAGTAATAAGCTGTTACCCTTATGTGCCAACATACTGTATAAGGCAAAAAGAACAAAAAAAAGGAACTTCCTGAATCTACTGCCAAACCCATTTGTGTTGTTGATTTGACTCCCTTTCCTGAAATAGCAGGACTGCGAATATCAGGCAGAGACTGTCTGTGATGAAACCATACAACAAGTTCCTGTTTTGATCCATCATGTGTTTTGTCATTGTACTACTGTACATTCAGCCATTTCATAACGCACACATTTTCTAAGCTGCTTATCCTCCTGGGTCGCGGGAAGTGCTGGGGCCTATCCCAGCGCTCATTGGGCGGAAAGCAGGAAACACTCTGGCCAGTCCAGCACAGGGCAGACACATAGACATACATGTTCACACACACATTTCATAACAGTTTTGGGTAATTAAAGTTTGTGTAATTGGAGTAGAGAGTTGTTGTGTTGTTCTTTAAGTTTGATCTTTTTTCTTTTGGATGTGAAGCACTTCATGGACCACCTAGCTAGTAACTCACTCAGGCACTCCTGATAGCATCCAAATGCAGTGCCACAACTTCAGATGCACGCTTTCAACTCCATTGAGTACACCTAAATTTAGGAGTTGCAGCCACAAATCAAGCTTAATTATGAGTATGCCTCTAGTGGCATATTCCTGAATCACAGCCACACCTTTGGCTCCTTTACGAGTATGCCTGTAGTGGCATATTCCGGAATTGCAGCCACACTTTCAGCTCCTTTACCAGTATGCCTCTAGACGTATTCCGGAATTGCAGCCACACTTTCGGCTCCTTTACGAGTATGCCTCTAGACGTATTTACGAGTCACAAGGACTGGAGCTTGACACATGCTCTAGTGGCATATTCCAGAATTGCAGGCAAACTTTCAGCTCCATTGCGAATACACGTCTTGTGGCATATTCCGGAATTACAATCACACTTCCAGCTCCCTTACAAGTCTGCCTCAAGTGGAATATTTTGGAAAAAGAGAAGAATGGAGCCTAACTTAGGTTCTTACACTGATAGATGCTGGATGCACGAAGAAACTTTGCTGTAGTTCTATAAGTTACTTGTTAATCAACTTTTGTACTTCTACTCAAGTTCTCTTGTTGGAGAAGTAGCTCTACTTCTGCTATAGTAACAATGCGATTTAGTGGAGTATGGGTTAAAGTACTGGCAAATAATGTAAATATCACATAAATGGTGAATGAAATTCCGCTTCATTTTGTAAATACAAGTTCTTGTTTGACAGAATGGGCCAAAAAAGGTGATTACATTATGAGAACTCTTCTGCTTGCCCTAAAAACATTGAAAGAACTGATTCTAAACTTCATAGGAGACCAGCTTGCAAAGATTAGTGCATGCAATGACCTTCAAATAAACACTCCGTAAGTCTTACAGATAAATGTTTAAGATATAACAAGCTTACAGATGTTGACAATATTTTGTTCAAATCAATTATATTTGTCAAACTTGACCTTGGATACTAGAAAAGAGACAACAAATTTTATTGCAGAGTGGAAACTCCTATTATGCGTAATCTAAAAGTCATTAGGATGCAAATCATGACTGTTTTGCTAATCATTAACATATTTTAATTACACTACATCCTACATTACACATTGCAGAGTTGCATACACAGGACAAAGCTCAAGTATATGGAAAGCCATTTAGTCTTCAGTTCAGAAGTGTTGATATAAGAGCATTTGTTTGTGATAATTGCTTCAGTACATGTAAAAATGTTGTTCATACTAGTTACACTTTTATTATACTGAACTGCGAACAGCCCTGAATACTTAATAGTGAGAACTGAAATATGATTTTTTGCTGATATCATGATATGAAGAAGGGCAAATAGTGGACCCCAAAATGTATTTGAACACTTTAACCATTGGTAAACCTTAATGAAGCTCCTGAGGTTACTTCATAAAATGTTTAAAGATGCACTATGTAAGGTTTTTTTTTGTTAAAAATGAAAGAAGTAGCATTAATGATTCAGGGGTCCTTTATGAACAGGGATGCATCGAGGCTCGTCACTTTGCCAAAAATGCATAAGCAAAAAAATCCAACTGTTTAAAAATAATGTAATTCAGAAATCTCTGTGGGTAAAAGGCAAGGCCGAAAACCATAACTGAATGCCTATGACCTTTGACCCTTCAGATGGCACTGCATTAAAACTGGCATGCTTCTGTGTTGGTTATCACCACATGGGCTCAGTAATACTTTAGCAAACGGTTGTCAATAAACAGAATCCATCATACAGCTAAGACTGTACAATGCACAGTGTAAGTCATACATCAACAACGCCCAGCAACACCTCCGACTTCTCTGGGCTCAAGCTTCTTCTTTCATGGCAACACCAAGCCACTTTCTGCGTGTTACAACTTACGTGCAAAGTGTTCTTCTGCATGTTGCGTGCCATTACACATTTCCACCAAAGAGGTTTCCAAAAGTCTGAAAACTTACACAGTGTATCTTTAAATAAATGATATTTGTTTCAGAGAGAAACACTTTTAGCACAGCGTCAGGCTGACGGTAGACAGTGGGGAGAAATTCTGGAGAAGATCTTCAACCATACTGCACTAAGGCTACTGTAAAGCACAGAGGTGGAAACATCAAGGTCTGGGGCTGTTTTCCTAACAATAGGGTCAGCGAGTTTGTGGTCAATGATGGGATCATGAACTTGGACTAGCCTGAAGAAGTCTGCAAAGAAATAACTTTTTCAAAAGATCGTTGAATGGTCTTTTTTATATAAATACCACTTGGTTTGACATGTTTCATAACACAATGGACTAAATGCATTTTTATATATGGCACAAATACTTTTTGGGGCCTGTATTTCACCACAGTTTCCTGTCACAGCAGAGCTGATAGTGTTATTGGAATCTGGCTGCAGTTGCACATCAGAACAGCAGAGGGCGCCAACGTGCAGAAACTCTGCACTGCAGTCACAGCAAAGATATTACTGAGTCATTTCCCTCCAGCCAGATAAGAACTCAATCACGGCCAGACAGCTCCTTTACTGCACCTTAAAGCTGTGAGGGAATAACTGTTTAAGGTGGGGAACAATGGACGCTCGCAGTAAAAATTCTGCTTTCAAAACTGGATCAGTTTGTGTCTTCCAAACGATTTTGTGTCTCCAAATGATTATTAAGTGTTGTTAAAAGGAAAGGTGATTTAACACAGAGGTAAACATGCTCCTGTCCTAATTCTTTTGGAACATGTTGCAGATATCAAATTTAGAATGAGTGTATACTAAAAAAGTGTTCACAAAGTAAAACATATAATATAGTATTTTTTACACTCTTCAATTTCATAAAGCTCAAACAGAATTTACTGTTCAGTGTTTTCTGTTTTTATTAGCATTTCACCAACTGTCCCAACTTTTTTGAAATTGTGTTTGTATGATGACAGTGGTAGGTAATTCACTTACATCCTCAGAATACAACTCACCAAATTCAACGCATTCACAATCATCAGGTTCTTCCGCTCCAGGAAAGAGGCCGAAGCACAACCCATGCACGGAACGTGCAATTACACATTTCCACCAGAGAGGTCTCCAAAACCACTAAAACGCATATAGTGTAGCTGTAAATAAATTATATTTCAGACAGAAGGGTCATTCTACAGAAACATCCACTTTTCTGTCTCTCCATAGGAGTGACTGGTGTTACCGGTTCTCACTGGTGTTACATATAAGAAAGGTAACACCAGAGACATTTTAATGAACAATGCATTTTACAAAATAACTGCTGCAGAGCATCAA